TCTCCATGGCTCTCCATCTGATCCTCTCTTTCCTTTCTCTCTCTATCCACTCTTTCTCCTCTTTTAACCTCCTTCTCGACTCTCTCACTTCAGCTTCTCTCCAATAAGAGGGTTGTGGTGGAATCACCATCCTCTACCTATAATCAGCTTCCTCCTTAGGTATTCTCAATCTCTCCCATTTCTGGGTCCAAGGGTTTTGCATCCACACCCACTCCCAACCAGAAGGCAACTCTCCCTGTCCTCTCTTCACTTCTCCTATTCCCAGTTCGATCTCCCTTCTCTCTCTTCCTTCCCGTCTTTTCTGACCTATCCTCCTTTACGTTCATCCCCCTCAACTTCCCTGTCACCTCTTCTACTTCCGCCCCCTGGCAAGACTCCTGTGATGCTTCATCAGAGGTTGGCGAGGGTTCTCCTCTCCCTTTATCCACTGTCTCACTGATGAGGAGGGATGGCGAGTCCCAACTTGCCTCCTGTCTCACACCTTCTTTTCCAGCTTTCACTGGAAGAGGCAGGAGTCTATTTTGTGCTATTAATTCAAACAGCACAATTCCAAAACAATTCTCCACCCAGGAATTATCCCTGACTTTCCAATGCCTTTCAGAAGGACAACACAATGTGAGACTCAAACTCGTGACACTCGGACAGAGGTGAGGTTTTCCAACCATGAAGTCCAGGTAAGCCTTTAAGACTTGTCCAAATATTTGGACTCCAATTACATCCAAAACTCTGAAAGATGCAACACTATTTAATACTCTGAGACTTTATTTTGAAGTATCATTTTCAATTCTGGGGCCACAAACGAATAACAATGTTGCCAAACAAGAAAAAACTTAAGGCTGAACAATTTCCCAAACTAATGTACCATTAGAAACTCATACAAAGTTTATATAAGTGAAGTGCACAAACTGGCATAAATTCTGCTACCGCTTATTTATCCAGCAATTTTACATATAGCCCAAACTATATTTATACACTGCTTAAAGCTCATTTTTGTTAAAGATGAGAACAAAGCAAAATGTTCTCCATTGAAGACATTCTTCAAGATTTCTTTCTTCTCCTTCCTGCAGCCTTACTCATCACCTGAAAATCTTCTTCAAAAGGCTTCCAAGGCCCCCAGAGCAAATTTTAAGGATGCAAGGAGAAATTACCTTCCTTTCAGCTCCACTGAAAGAATTCCGTCTGTTAACAGAACGACATAATAAGATCCTAACCACTATTTCAATATGAACCAAGACCAGCTCACACAGGGTAATACCCAACAATATACTTTTGTTGAAGCTGTGCACTTCTGTCATAATTAACAATTCATATTTTCACTTCCTGCAACTCCTATGCATCCTAAAAGTATATTCAAAAAATCCAGTAGACTCTATAGAGTAGTCTTTAGTACCACAAACCAAAGTAGGTTTGATTTACAATTTAAATCATGATTTAAATGTTAAAAATTTGATTTTTTAACTATTTAAATTTAAAAAACAATTTTTAATTTGAATCCATTTAACTTAAAAAAATAATGTTTATCCAACCTGCCACAAACTGATGCAATGGAAGTATATTAGAGTCATAATCTCACTGCCATTGGATATGGAAGTATCACTGGATGCTGGCCTATGTCTCATTGCAATACAGTTTCTAAATGTCTGCTGATAGCACATATTGCGGGGGG